TATAATTCTACATTCCGGTTTCAATATCAACATTAACCAAACGTAATGTATGGTGTAGTGTATGCTGTAATGTATGCAGTAATGTATGGTGTAGTGTATGCTGTAATGTGTGGTGTAATGTACGCTGTAGTGTATGGTGTAATGTATGGTGTCATGTATGCAGTAATGTATGGTGTAGTGTATGCTGTAATGTGTGGTGTAATGTACGCTGTAGTGTATGGTGTAATGTATGGTGTCATGTTTGCTGTAATGTATGGTGTAGTGTATGCTGTAATGTGTGGTGTAATGTACGCTGTAGTGTATGGTGTAATGTATGGTGTCATGTTTGCTGTAATGTATGGTGTAATGTATGCGGTAATGTATGGTGTAATGTGTGGTGTAATGTACGCTGTAATGTATGGTGTCATGTATGTTGTAATATACGGTGTCATGAATGCTGTAATGTATGGTGTAATGTATGATGTAATGTACGCTGTAATGTATGGTGTAATGTGTGCTGTAATGTACGCTGTAATGTATGGTGTCATGTATGGTGTAATGTATAGTGTAACGTATGCTGTAATGTATGATGTAACGTATGCTGTAATGTACGCTGTAATGTATGGTGTAACGTATGCTGTAATGTACGCTGTAATGTATGGTGTCATGTATGGTGTCCTGTATGGTGTAATGTATGCTGTGATGTACGCTGTGATGTATGCTGTAATGTATGGTGTAATGTATGGTGTCATGTATGGTGTCCTGTATGCTGTAATGTACGCTGTGATGTATGCTGTAATGTATGTTGTAATGTACGCTGTAATGCATGATGTAATGCATGGTGTAATGTATGGTGTCATGTATGGTGTAATGTATAGTGTAATGTATGCTGTAACGTATGCTGTAATGTACGCTGTAATGTATGGTGTAACGTATGCTGTAATGTACGCTGTAATGTATGGTGTCATGTATGGTGTAATGTATGCTGTGATGTACGCTGTGATGTATGCTGTAATGTATGGTGTAATGTATGGTGTAATGTATGCTGTAATGTATGGTGTCATGTATGCTGTAATGTATGTTGTAATGTACGCTGTAATGCATGGTGTAATGCATGCTTTAATGTATGGTGTAATAGTTTTTGACATAACAATTACATTTACTATTAATGTCATCTTTTATTTGATCTGTGCCAGAACAAACATACTAACGAATGCGAAGACCTAAACATTCATTTCATTACATAGACTAATGTTTTAGTTATTTAGAAATTTCACAAACAGGATAGTGTAACTAAATAATTCAAGGAAGTTCCCTCTTACGTAAAACTTCAAATTTGTCGGATATACTGGGTATAATATTTATGGTTACAATGTTTCACCAGGTTAACCTGGAATCCTGATCTAGATAATACTCCTCGTAGTTGTACCCAATTTAACCTGGTGAAACTTTGTAATCATAAGTATTATACTATATATATATTCGGCACAATAAACAAGTTTTAAGAAACTTGGGTTGTTATGGAAACGATCAATTATATCTCTATAGAAACTACTAGATGTGTCGCTATGGAAACGATCACTTTTATCTTTATGGAAATGCTAGATATATCGTTATGTGATAGTTTCAAAAGGTATATCTACAAGATTAAGAAAACCATACTAAACATGTGAAAATCTGGAGAGTCTTGCTACAGTGTTCTTCACTGAAGCTAATCACATGTACGTATGGTTATTTGAAATGGTTGGCGACGAGAAGCAGTCCTTCATATACAGTTTCTACCTACAGACTAACACGTGTTCAGTACGCATGAAAGCCACGGTTCACGTGTTTCAAGCAAGTCCCCGATCTCCTACTCTGAATGATGCTATTGTAAATCCTCGTTATCTTCGTTAGAAAACGTGTGAAAGTGAAAACCCCATGGTAAGGAAACCGCGTGGGTTTCAATGAACCTTGCAAAACACGTAATCCGATTGTTCTCGGAACTTATTAAACCATTTTAAAAAATCAGTGTTACTAGACCCAGAAACAATAGTTTTGGATTATCTAAATAGTAAATACAAGATTTACTTTAGAACACTAAAACATACCACCACTTATAGATATATGGTTTGAAATTTAAAAAAAAAAATAGATTCTTAAATGTAAAATTATTTGGTTTGGCTGTTGTTAAGCGCAAAGCTACACAGTGGGCTATCTGTACACTGCTCGACACGGGTATCGAAACCCGATTTTTGGCGTCGTAAGCCTGCAGATTTACCGCTGAGCCACTGGAGGGGGGCTTTAAATGTGAGACATGTCATAAAAATGTTTAGGGGTATATATTTCCACTATGACAGCTTTATTCCGATTTAACATAAGATTAATATAATTAGGAGTTTCGTACATTTTGCATATAAAATAAACATTAATTTTACTAGCTTAGTACAATAATTTAATAACATCAAAAGTTCGTGATATAATGAGTTTCCACGTCCAATAAGAATGATGTTATTAAGAAATATTTGAATAAACAATAAACGTCTCCAGATATAAAGATTATAGTTAACAATACAATCTTCTGAAACTGAAAAACAATAGCCTGATCAAAAAACATTAACCTGATCAAAAAATAACAGCCTGATCAAAAACAACAGCCTGATCAAAAATAACACCCTGATCAAAAAACAACATCCTGATCAAAAAACAATAGCCTGATCAAAAAATAACAGCCTGATCGAAAAACAACAGCCTGATAACAAAACAACAGCCTGATCGAAAAACAATAGCCTGATCAAAAAACAACAGCCTGATCAAAAAACAATAGCCTGATCAAAAAATAACAGCCTGATAACAAAACAACAGCCTGATCGAAAAACAACAGCCTGATCAAAAAACAATAGCCTGATCAAAAATAACAGCCTGATAACAAAATAAGAGCCTGATCGAAGAGTGAGAACGTCATGTCCACAAGTTTGGTTAATGTTGATATTGAAACCGGAATGTAGTATTATAGATTAACATGTCCACAATCTATGGTGTCATGTACGCTGTAATGTATGCTGTAATGTACGGTGTAATGTATGCTGTAATGTATGGTGTAATGTACGGTGTAATGTATGCTGTAATGTATGGTGTCACGTATGCTGCCATGTATGCTGTAATGTATGGTGTAGTGTATGCTGTAATGTATGCAGTAATGTATGCATGACACCGTACATTACAGCATACATTACACCGTACATTACACCATACATTACAGCGTACATGACACCATAGATGACACCGTACATTACAGCATACGTTACACCATACATTACAGCATACATGACACCATACATTACAGCATACATGACACCATACATTACAGCGTACATGACACCATACAGTACAGCGTACATTACACCGTACATTACAGCATACATGACCCCATACATTACAGCGTACATTACTGCATACATGACAGCGTACAGTACAGCGTACATTACAGCATACATTACACCGTACATTACAGCATACATGACACCATACAGTACAGCGTACATTACACCGTACATTACACCGTACATTA